CCATACGAAGCCTTGTTTGGATACAAAGCAAAAGTGGGACTTAGCACTTCAAATCTAACAAGAGAGGCTCTCGATAATATAGCTACTGAGGAAGATCTTGAGAACATTGCACAAGAAATGGAAGTTGTCATAAATGCAAAGACATCCTCCGCTAACACATCAGCTGCGTGACCATAATGTGGCCAACAGAATATGTGTAGTTAGTGAAAAATATTGTAGTGCAGCCCATTCTTGTGGATCCTGTGGCAACGATGTCCATGCAATATGCGGAATAGGCAATGAAGCAGACGAAGGGTATGGAGGAAAAAGGGAGGCGATATTGGCCAATGCGAGCATTGGCCGACTTCAGGCTTTGACCGTAACATATGTATATATATATATATATATATATATATATATATATATATATATATATATATATATATATATATATATACATACATATAATACACTAAACGTATGTTTGTAGTTAAAAGATGCACAAGCCGGGCTGAAGCACAGGCTAAAGTCAACCATTCACACCTGTATTCAGTTCCAAGTGATAGTCACCTCTACATGACAGTGAGGAGAGCTAACCCACAGATTTCTGAATCTGACGATGAACATTACATCGATATAGATCGTTTCGAAACAATAATTGATGGATCTAGTTACGATCACTATATAACTGTGATCAGTGGAGGTTCAAACTCTGAGGAATTACCAGAAAATCAGTACATTACGATAGATGACTACGAGTATATTCCATCCAATAATAACCCTGTTGTTATACATGAAAACATAGAAGTACGTGAAAATTAATCACTAAATCTTAAATGGAAAAGTTTGTGAAAGCTATATAAAAATAACAGTAAAATCGATTTGCCTTATTTATTATTTTTTTTTATAATTAAATATGCTGATTTAAAAACGAATTCTTCTGTTGATGACGTGATGGTTAAGAGAATTTTGTTTTCAATTTAAGACCTAAGGTCTTTTGAATACTTATCCATATTTGGCAGATGAAAGTAAGAATTAAATAACTTAAAAAGGGTTGAAAACATTTTAAGTTGTCATGGAAACCCTCCGCCCTTTAATTTTTTTGTAACATTTAAAAACGGTTAGGCTTTTTTATTTAAGCACGTATTGCAATCAAATTTAAACGGCTTATATTTCAGTATAATATTAAAACTTTTGTCCTTACACATTTTTAAAAGAGCTACGGGGCAGAATTTTAAAAGGTCTGAAAAGTCGTACCGCTTTTAGTATGCACAAGTTTCAAAATGTGCATGCTATTTACTAGAAACTTTTTTTCTATGCAAATCATCATAATTTTCTCGAAACTATTTTTATTTTAGTGTTAAAACAGCGAGCTGAGAAAAACAGCAAAAAGTAACTAGAAGTAGGTCACAAAAATATTATATATATATATACAATCTGTAAGGTCGATTGTGTGTTTCGGAGATTATGGGAAATACTATCATCAAATACCTGAGAAGTCCAACTTTCCAATGATGCCAAATACAATGTAAAGAGGAATATCAAACGTTTTGTATAGAGCTTGTAAGATTTGGAAATAAATGTTTATTTTTAAATTAATAGGGTCATAACAATAGTAAAGTTATTTTTAAGGTTATTATTTTCTTAGAAAAAAAGGACAAAGTATTCAAAAGTACATGAAACCTATTATGAGAAAAACCAGGAAATTTGGTGATTTTTTTAAAATGAGCGTGTCTCCTTTTTTGTTTATGTAAATAATAGAAATGAATATTGGTTAAATTGTATGCATAATTTAAAAAATAAACTTCTACTTTGAGGAAAACCTTAAAATGTCGATACTTAAGATATTATTTTCAATGTGTAATAAGTATATGTAGGATATATATATATATATATATGTAGTATGTGTAGGATATATATATATATATATATATATATATATATATATATATATATATATATATATATATATAAATATATTTATTTATTTATTTATTTATATATATATATATACGTGTATATATATATATACATATATATATATATATATATATATATATATATATATATATATATATATATATTTATATTTATATTTATTTATATATATATATATATATATATATATATTTATTTATTTATATATATATATATATATATATATATATATATATATATATATATATATATATATATATATATACGTATATATATATATATATATATATATATATATATATATATATTTATATCTATATTTATATGTATATATATATATTTGTATATATATATATATATATATATATATATATATATATATATATATATATATATATATATATATGATCTCACACAAAATATCCGGGACAAAATAGCTCACAGCGAAATATTTATAGTATTTAGGAACTTTTAGTACATTTTTAATATATAAATACAACCACACACACACACACACATATATATATATATATATATATATATATATATATATATATATATATATATATATATATATATATATATATATATATGTATATATATTCATATATATATATACATTGTTTGCTTTAAAATCCGTTTATTCATGTTTGGTGAGGGAAAAAGGGAAAACAAAGCTAAAAATAATCACAACTAGATTTACAAATTTTAGCTGTTTCATACATAAATCTTGTCTGAGAATTTAAAAAAACAGTTGGGATTCAGGGGGTCGGCGTGGTCGAGTCGGTAAAGCTCATGGTTGCTAAACCGAAAATGAGGCAGATGAGGCTCGTTAGCTGGGGACAGCCACATTTCTAGGAGAGACAACTCCAAAATTAAACAACTGCTGCCTTGTATTTTGTTCTTGGTTGGACAAAGGCTATGGAAGCAAATCCAAAAAGAAAAGCAGGCTGAAATCGGAGTCAATGGCCTCAATGGCGCATAACCAATTGACACGTAACGCTTAATTGTGTTGGAGGCGTGGTCGAGTCGGCAAAAAGCTCATGGTTGAAAAATTCGAACAAAGTCTCGAGTTCAAACTCACTGGCAGATAAATCTCGATCCCCTTGAACACTAATAATTAAGAACGAAGAAGAAGAAAGAAGGAGTTGGGATTCGGGCAGCTAGGTTGTTGGTTTAGACTGCGTATAGGTTGAAACGCGATGCAATTTTATAACTTACAGTTGCAATGTTGAAGTCTTAGTCCGTAATGTAAAACCATTTTCTCATTAAGTTCATAATACTTTCTATTTTGGTCTAAAGTTTTAAAAATATTCAAAAAAAAGTGAACAAAAATCATTTAATTTTCAAAGTAAACAAATAGGCCTAGTCCTTGGGGTAGGTAAAGTAGAATTCACCTGTTTCATTGACAGGATGGTATCAACGGATAATGTGGTTAGCGGTATGGTCAGCCATCTCTTTCTTTACAACTTAGTAAGGTACCCATCTCAGAAAAATAAACTTATAATTTTTTAGCACATTAACAAACTCGTTATTAATTAATAATGTAAATTTTGTCCAAACACATTTTGCTAAGTTAAAATAGTATTATTGATATTTATACAAATTACAATCAAAATAGTGAAATAGTATAGGTACTACATTTCGGTGTACATTCTTTGATGGGTTTTTAAAAATCATCCGTTAGGCTTAAGAGTTTATTTTTTGATTTGAACAAAATATATTACACTTTATATAACATTATAAATATGTAAATTTAAAAAAATATATATGTTATAAGTTAGTTAATTTACAGAACACAAATCTTGTTTATACTTTATATATTTGTATCACGACCAAAAAAACTACAATTCTTCGGCTTACTAAAAAGTGTAATAGTTAACCTAAAATATTAATAACTACCCGTTATTCGCTATGCTTTGCTTCAGCCATTTATAGCGGTGTCCAAATGTAAATGTTAACAAATATGTATATTTGTTTACAAAATGTTCAAAGAAAAATTAAAAAGCATCACATAATTCTATTCTCAAAACAGCAATAGCACGTGATTCAAAAATGTAGCAACACATCTCCTACCATTTTACAATATCGATTTTCGTTACACAAATACAATACGCATTTTAGAATCAAACACAAAAAAACACTTGTTATTTACTTTCCCTCTTTTGAGAGTATCAAGTAAGAGTATATGATTTGTTACACCGTAATAGTAAACAAGTATAAAGCGTAACATTAAACTAAAAAAATAAAGTAAAAAAATAAAAAATTGTAAAAGACCATTGTACACATACAGCACACTCTTTATCTACTACAAAAGTAAAAGCACCCAATTACAATAAGTACACAATTGTAAATCCTATCAATACGTAAATTAAAATAAACATATAACTAAAGTACAACCTTAATTTTATCCGACATTTTGCATGCTTTATGTTGGTGTAAGACATTACCTATCATTACCCCCAACCGGTTATTAGCCCCCAGATCAATAACCTCATCCTAAATTCCACCCTGTGTATTTACCATACTACACAATACATATTAATCTAACACCTATTTATTTCCTATCCCAATAGCCTACTCCAAATTCTTAACCCTGTTCATAACTAAAACCAAATTATTATCCTTAATCTTCACTCTACCCATATTCTATCCTATCATTATCGTTACAGTTACCGTCACCGTTACCTTACCGCCATCGATACAGCAACCGCTACCTTAACCGGTTGGTAACTGTCGGATTGCAGGTAATGTCCTACGGGGTAATGGTCTGGGCAGGGAGAGACGTAACGCTAGGTAAAATGACCGGGGTTAATTAGCTTGAGGGGAGTAATGTCAAAATCTGATTTTAAGCACCCCTACCCCATTGTTTAACGCCACGAGAGTATTCTGTCCTAAATACAAATAAAAAACGAAGTGTATCCATATATTTCCATATATTGTCTCTTAATATGACACAAAATAGAAAACTTTATTAAATTTATATTATTTTATATATATATATATACAAATCGAAATATAAATCGAATAATAATAAAATAAATTTTCTCTATTCTGGTCACTTTAAATTGGAGGCTATTTGATGAAAAAAAAAACTGACAGTTATACTAAGACGAAATATTCACCACTATCATTTCCTTGAGCGTCTGATCCACTGTGAGGAGACTCATACCTATGTATCCCGTCATTTCCCAGCATGTAGACAGGCGCTCCGCCTGAGCCATTACATGTAATGTTGTATACCAGTACCTGGTGTATTGTTCCCTCTTACGTTTGTGTGTCCATTCGCCTACAGAAACTTGTTTAGGGAGGCCATGAGGATGAGACACTATAACGGTGAACTTTTCCAAATCACCGAATTTGTTATATTTAGTATTTACCTCTTTACATAGCTTTGTAAATCGGAAACACAATTTATCAAGCTTATGAACCAAATTTAAATCGCGTGTCACATATTTCAACCTACACCAGTCTTTCTCAATGTCTTCTTTTGAAACGATCTCCCAGCTATCAAGTGTGAGAACTGGACCTTTTTTTGGATCCATATCTAAAACACAGCTGGTCTGTCTCGCCTCACTGTCGTCAAACACCACGTATCTGGCTGTCAACACGTAAATCTCACCCAACACTTTGCTGGGCGTGGCAGAGAATTCGGATTTTTCAAAATTACAAGTTCCCCCACTCCCTTTCTGCATGTGCACTCAACATACCTTCCCCGTCCCTAACCTCATCACGTGACTTCCTCTGTCCTTATAACATGGATATGAAACTTGAGTGCCTGGGTAAAACTTTGGTCTCTCTAGACTGGTGAATTTAGTCTTTACCTGGACAGTTAGGGCTGCCAATGTTTTGATTGTGTCTGACATGAGATCGTTATGGAAACGTAAGGGAAGACAATAGAAGTTGAAATCTTCAAGAGGTATAAAGCGTTTATGACCTGGATTCTTTTTGCAATCAGCAACACATCTAATAAGATCATCATCATAACACATCTCAGCTTCGTGATTTCCTATAACAAATTAAAAACAGTTTTTTAGGTTTGATGGTAATATACAAGGTGTGATTATCCTGGGAGTAAGGTTGGGTGTTTGTGGGAGAGAATTTACAGGGGATAATGATTAACTATGAGTGTATTTCACATTAAATTCACCATTGATAATTCTACAACGTAATAACACTATACATTAAGGTGTAAATTGTTGAGGATGTTTAAATTGAATACTAATTTTAAAATGTTAAATCCTGGAAGAAAAACTTCTATCATCTAGATTCGAATCCCTTTCCTAAATAAACTATATAGATTGTGTGACTTAATTTATGAGTACTTGAAAGATTAACAAAAATAACATTTTTAGTAGTTCTACTGATTAAACTCTTAATAAATATGTCTTTAATTTAAGACGTGTTTTGTGTGTATAATTGCAATGCGTATAATTTCCAGAGTTAAAAAAACAATTTTGAAACAAAGCAGTTTAAATTATTCGAATATCAAAACAAATATAATAAACCTTCATGAAAATAAGCTTTATTTTGCTAAAAAAATTACAGCGGTAGAGACTTTAAGAAACCGGCGATTCTAGGATATTAAAATTATATAAGGATACACAATCAAACAGATGTAAACCGAAGGTAAAATTAAATTATGAATGTTATGTAGTGGTTGATGGAATGATGTTTTACTTTAATCAAATACTTGCGCCACATCATAGTTTAAAATATGAAAAGCCAAACGCTTTATATAAGTAATTATAAAGTACTTACAGAATAAAAGGATAGCTGAAAACAAATAAAATACAGTAAGCTTATATTTTCATACAATTAATAGATTTATATGTAGATTACTAATACATTCCCAGTATTGATTGAAAAGCGTCCAACATCCGCGAGGAACAATTAGATAGTCTCACAAGAAAGTCTGACGCAATATTTTAAGAGGATTTCATCCTATATATTCTTAAACGCTTTAACATGTTTTTTAAAACTAAGGTATTGAAATGTAAACAATGCCAGCACATGTATCGTATTTATCGGGCCAGGGTTTGCCCACACAACCACTGCAGCGAATTTACTAAAGTGTCTGGTCCCCATTTGGATAAAGTGTAATCCTAATCTGTCTGAGTAGCTGCGTTCGTTATGTTTCGGAACATTCTGCCAATCTTGCCAGTACCTTAATAAGTCCTTAGAAACTATTCACTCTAAAATTTCTCTCTCTTGATCTCCTATTTTCACTTATATATTCCTTTTTTTCATTATCTTTTATTTTCCTTTTTCTGTATTTCTGACTTCCTTTTGAATTACAATGTCTAGTATTTCTGATTTATCGGCAGTCAAACACGTTATTACCAATAAATGATCCTTTTTAAAATATAGACAATCGATTATAGACTATATATTTATAAACACACGCTTGTGTCTCTTTTAACAAGCTTTTATTTAACTCACTTCCTCGTCAGTCGTCAGTCTGTCGTCAGTCTGTCTGTCTGTCTAGATCGAAACGCCGGAGCGAAATTGCATGCACTTCTACTTGACAGATACGGTTCTTAAATTGTACGTGGGTCAAGGCATGAAGACATTGCATCGTGACATTAATTTTGACTTAATTGGATGCCTAATTAATTTTTCATGAATTAATTAAAATTTTGACCAAATTAGTAGGCATTTCTATCCAACCACACCACACGCATCATCACGTTCAATAGGAACGTAATGGTTTTTAGTCATGAAACTCTATTGTAAATAAAAACATGTAAAGTACTAAAAAAAATTCCATAAAAACGTTTTAATAACAAGCTTTTATGTAATAAGCACTAAAAAGGATACATTATACACTACTATTTAAATAACTATAAAGAAAAGCGTGGTTTACTTTAGTATCTATTGAATACCTTTACTAATATTTAGGAAGAGACCCACGCTATTCTTTATAGTTATTAAAATAGTAGTGTATAATTTATTTTCTCCTTTTAGTGCATTATTACATAAAAGCTTGTTATTAAAACGTTTTTTATGAATTTTTTTTTACTCAAGTCAAACCAATTTCGTAAACAAATACATGTTTATTCATATCACAAACTGAAAACCTACTCATATAATAAGGTGTCGTCCATAAATGACGTCACATTCGAAGAGGGGGAGGGGTCCGTAATTTTGTGACGGTGTGTGATGAGGGGGAGGGGGGGGGAGGGCTCAGATGGTGTGACGTCATTTTTTTTGCATTATAAAAAGCAATGTTAGAAAACGCGTTTTAGCCGATGTTTCGCGTTTTTGAAAAGGTTTTAATAAATTGTAATAGGAATTGATCAAAATACTTGATGTTGAAAGAGTTCTAACGAGATTTTGGAAAAATATCAATGTTTTATGAAAAATTCAATAGCAATTTTGAGGGGGGTTGTAGGCTGAGGTATGACGTCATTTTAAGGGGGGGGGGTCTGGCTTTTTACGACGACGTGTTACGGAGGGGAGGAGGGGGGGGGGAATCGTCCAAAAAAAGAGTGACGTCATTTATGGATGACCTCTAAAACGTAAGAATACATTTCACAAGATAGCACAGCTATGATTAATTATTAATAAACTCATTGTATTTACCAAAAAACAGTCCAATCATTAGAAATACTGGTACGGCTAATGTTATTACGATTACAAAAAGGGGATTAAGTTCCGACGTTTCTTCTACTGAAATGAAGCAATAGAAGAAATTTTATGTAAATAATATTGTCTAGCATAAATGAATTTTCTTAATTAAGCCACACATATTAAACTTATATACAACCACAAAGCTTTCTAAAATTAGTATTTTCTAAATTTAAGATGAATGAATCAGATGAACGCTTTTGCAAAAGTTATTCTAACCTTATATAACCATATGTTACCATAAAGTACTACTTCTGACTTTGGTAACATAAGAAACAAGGTTTAAATATCTATAATTAAACGCGTCTAGCAAGTAATGATAGCATAGACTAATTAATCAAAATTTTATTTGCAATGTTTCCTAATCGTTGCTGAGTTATGAACTTTAGACTTTTTACTTATATATATATATATATATATTACTTATATATTCCCTCAAAAAATTACCTTTTGGAATACCAAATATTGACACACATGCGTGTTCACAAAGTGGATTTTTTTTCAACAAGACCTCCCTTGAATCTTGACTTCTGCAGAATTCTATCTCATCAATTTTTGACGGAAAACATGATTCCACTTTGTTATCTTTTGTGCAAAACTGGTAGTTATAATAGCACAATCCATGATAGCCACAGATATGTTGACCTTCATGTGGACATTTAAACGTTTTTAAGTCAACCAAAGCTGCAAATGAAATATTAATATATATATATATATATATATATATATATATATATATATATATATATATATATATATATATATATATATATATATATACTATGTATCCGCCGCACTCTGTTGCAATTATAGAAGATTGATAGCATGATAACATTCAAATTACAGTGTGTCATTTTTACTTTCTCGATTATACGAAGTATAGAGAAAGTCTTGTAATCGTGCACAAAAATAAATCGAGATTTTACAAATCTCGACGTTTTACACCTCACTGATACGGAAAAACATAATTTTGCAATCTTGTCCGTATGTCTGTGCGTCTGTGTGTGTGTATGTCTGTGTGTGTGTATAAACACGATAACATGAGTACCGTTACAGCTAGGTTGATGAAATTTCATTTATAAGTATTTTATCAAAATCGTAGATCCGTATCAACTTTTGAGCGATTTCCGATAACCTGAAGTGGAACTTTTTCTACTTTGAATTTTTCAAAAGCCTATAATTTGAATACTATTTCAGATAGATAAATGAAATTTCACAAGTTAGTTAAAGATCTAATTCTCTACCTTCTGTCAAATTTTGAGTAATTTGACCGGAAATACTAATTTACGCTATTTCCGATTTCTCAAAAAACGCATGTGAATTTATAAAGTACTAATAATAATCCGCACTATTTTGCACATTTTATATGACGTTCACTTGGTGTGCAATTCTTTTTTCTACTAGATTTTATTCTATTTTAAAAAGTTTAAGTATTTAAAATGGATTAAAAGTCATGTCTATATCCCGAGTTGCTATTCCCTATTGTTTCATATAAGAATATTCGAGAAATTTTAGGGGAGATCACTCCCGGTTTATTTTTAAAAATGCACTATAACAATATGCATAAACTATAAACTATATTATTTTAAACGTCATTAATATAATTATTTTAAACTTCATATAATACCTCATGTCTTCAAACCTTTATATCCTACTTTTCAAGTTTGAACAAAATTGCTACAATATAAGAGTTTGAACTTTTGATCGCAGTAATTCACCATTTAAGCTTAAAACATTAAGCATGATCAACATAATTGATAAAAGAATGTAAAAAATAACACCTAAAACAGTGCTTAACTTACGTAAAACAGAAATGTTGTATTGTATAATCTCACTTTTCCATCCAAGTACATTTGAACCAACACACATAAAACCTTAAAATTGTCGAGAAAGAAAAAAAGTTAAAATAGATTAGTTCGAATTTAATGTAAGGTTTAAGATTTATACATTTTCTATAACTCTATTAGTGCTTACATATACTCTCTTATATATAGAGATATAGGATATATATATATATATATATATATATATATATATATATATATATATATATATATATATATCCCAAAATACCGGTGATGAACAAAAATGGCTAACTTCAAACGTCAACTGAAGAATAATTGACACGATGTAGAGAACACTTCCAGGAAGTACTAAACAGCACAGCACCACAAGACCCACCAGACCTGGAATCAGGGTCATTACGGCAAGATAGAGAAGAAGTAGCGAATTCACGTCATAAATGACTCAACTTAGTCTGAAGCACAGGACAGATCCGACTAGAAGAGAGGCCTCCATATGAAGTTAGCAAAAAATGGTGACTTATCTCAGTGTGTAAAATGGAGGCGTATTACCTTGTTGTCCATCTCAAGTAAAGTTCTTATAAAAGTCATCTTGGACAGAATAAAGAAGGCAATAGTCTTTAAGCAAAGAGTTTGAACAAGCATTTTATATGAAAGGAACTTATATAGATCAGACAGCTACAATTGTAGAAAGGACAATAAAATGACAAGCCTCGCTTTAAATCTGCTTTGTCTACTTAGAGAAGGCCTTTGTAGTGTGATTAGGCAAACAGTGGAATTTGTTTTTAAGCACCATGGTGAACCCTTCAATTAAGTGGATATAATTCAGCAACTATACAGCAGCGGTGTGTAACCACCTGTCTGTAGGTGTTGGTCCGTGGCTTAGTAATACTGTCACAAGACTGTGGATACCTCATTTGGCTCTGACATCGAACTCATATAAAGAATCACAATCTGACGTCGGGTTCGAGATTACAAAACTGTAATTCTTGATAAATAATCATTGTTCCAAAAGTAACATGAAAATCAATAGACCTCCAATGTCAAAGGTCCATACACAGTTTCACTCCGTAGCCGTACTGACATTGTTCTCTGCGTTTAACCATTCTATGTGATAACTTCACTGTCACAATCAATCGTCAATCAAATACGCTGTCTCTTAATTGTATTTATGGGCCAACCTCGTGTTTATCCACAACCATTCTTTCTCCGTCTACACAACAGTTCGTTCTCTTTGTCTCGATCGTTCTCTCTGCGTTTCTGAGCACATACCATGAAGTAGCGATCTCATACACACAGATGTTATTTTCGGTGTAGTCAACAAGGTTCAGATATTCTTTTCCGATACCACCAATTGCGTCATATTTCGTATTATGTTAGTCCGCCTGTCTACTGAGTTTGTTACAAAACATTTTGTTTACTTAAAAGTGCCAAGCCTTGTTGACAAGTCAAATTCTATGTTATTCACCCGAGTTAATTTAGAAATAACATTTTTTTTTCGTCACAGTTACATAATAGCTCGTTTTGGTTTTGGCATTAAACTTGTCCTTGCTGACAACCATATACGCGACCGATAGTGTTTTAAAACAAACTATTTTCAGTCGCTGAATAATAAGGTTCATAATTTCTATATTTTAACAGAAATTTTGACTACATTGTGAGGCAATTGTTACATTAGAATCCCAAGGGGAGAGAAAAGGTAGGCTGACCTAAACAATCCTGGTGGAGGGCGAAGCAAGAGCTGCTAGACTTGCTTACGCTCAAATAACGATAGCTGCCTAATAGGAGTTTAGTAAAGAGGTGTTTCTGCAGCCATTTGTTCTCAATGGCTCAAAAAGGAAAAAAATATAGTAAGACAACAGAAAAGTTAAAAAAACGGATCTGAATTGAAAACACTCTTACTTGTGATATTTTTTTGCGCTTTTAGCTTCAAAGTTGCAGTATTATTTCCGATTGAAAACGTTTTGTTTTCGTAAAACCATAGTAACTTTGTTGTCAAGTTACTAGTGTCATATTTTACACAAGAGCAGCTTAACATTTCATTCTCATTCACAAAGTTTTCACACGAAAAGTTCGCTTTGGGTCGTTCTGAAAATGTTTAATTTCAGCTATTCGGTAAAACAAGAATTGTGTAGCCTACAGACACACACACACGTACCCCCTCCACACACACACTTGCACGCAAGTACACAAACATACATTCACACACACACATACACTCTTTCTCTCACACACACGCACGCGCACTAAAACACACAATATTCGTATGTGAAGAACTATTATAAAATCTAATAGTTTTTCCTTATATAAATTTAAACTTAATTTTTTACCAATTTTGATAGCAATGTTTTTGATAGCTCCATATTTCATATCGGATTTAAAAATCCCTTTTATATCTGGATAAATGTGGACCTTATAACGAAACATTCTTAACGAGATATTTAAAGCGATTGAACATTTGGAAACCAAGTAGTAAGGGTGACCAGGAACTTTTGAATATACGTGATCAACTTTTGCTCTCTTTTTAACCTATCAATAAAATTTCAAAATATTTTCATTATCAAATAAATTTTTATAGAAAAAGCAACAACAAATAAACTACCGTAAAAGCTATAAACATTTTTAAAACATTGTAGTGTTAGTTCCTAGTAGATGATTCTAAATTTCGACTAAAAAATTAATTAAATAATCTTTTCCTTTTAACGCCTTATGTGTTTTTCAAACTAACAATTTTTTTTTTAGATTTAAAGGTTTAATTAGCTTTAACTACAGGCAGACTTACTTTCAATCTAGTGTCAACAAAATTACACAGGATCTTCGGATAAGATTTGGGAATTATGCACGTTAATTTCAGTATCTGCAATTCCTCTAAGTAACAGTGTTCATTCGTGACATGTACTGAAATTTTATGTATTAATGCAAAAAGTATTCTTTAAAATAGTATTTTTTTCTTTTATTTATAATAATATATAAAAAATATTTTTTTTAAATTTAAAACACGATAATGTTTAAACATCATAAGCAAATATATTTTACTCGTAATGTTATTATTAATCATTTAATGCATTATTTTAAGCATATTTATTGTTAGGCTTATACTAATCTTTTTTTTAATATATAATAAATCTTACAATAGATTCTTGAGCGCCTGCTGCATAATAGAGTGTCACTATTAGTCATAAGATCCCATGTAGTTCGATCTTCTTCATTATCGTTTGTAAAAAATGTCAATATAGTAAACATTCTTTTATTCTTAACTTCGAGAACCAACGTAAACGTTAAAGAATACTTTTTGTGGATTTTACAATCGCCAAATGTGTGGCAAGAACTGACAGGCTCGTTATTTCTGTACCATACCACACTTATGTTTCCTAATGCACTGTGCCATCCGCATTTCACTGAACAGTAGCTATTTTCCGGACACACCTTGACATTATCAAATTCCAATGGAAAAGAAGTATAATTATCTGTAAACAAAAGTTATATAATCCTTATTTATAAATATAATTCGAAACATGAAAAAGTTTACTGTCATAACAATAATAGTTTAAGATTATACAAAGCCCTTCAATTGCATAAAGAAAATGGTTAAAAGATGTATTTAATATGCATAACAAGCATATACGTTTCGCTCTGAGAGGAAAAGTAATTCAACAACACTCATTATGATAAAATTCAAGTGTAAACAACGATGCAATTTTAGACGCACGATCTAATTTTTTTTACCACACCATCGCTATCATAGTTATAACCACATATTTACATTGCATTAAGAAAACAAAACACCTTCATAGTACGTAATCGCCCTGTACAAGGGTGAGGTAGAAAACCCCTCTTCAACTGCCAAGATTTTAGGAGTGTCGAAATGCTCACGTGGAAGCCACGTTTTCACCTTATCGCAGTAGCGCCCTAGAACGCCCCTTGTTCGATTTAGTCATCGATTATAGTATCCTCATATAAAATTTGCTCTCTAAAAGTGAGGTCCAGGGCGTACCCCTGACACCCTGCGCAAGACCAGCGGGTGAATTCTGAGCGCCAAACTGCACCCTACAGCAAGTTTGGAAGTTAATTTCAGTTTCACGGAAATCAGATGAACGGTGTAGCAATGGATAAAACAAACAGAAAAACACATAAACTTTCTCAAACACACACATATAAATATATGTTAATATAAGTTAATATTATTTGTGTCATACAATATCAGTGTATAAATTATATCTTTTATTTGAGTAACTTTAGTAACTATGTACCACATTGCTTAACAGTGACGTAGATGCCTTTTTTAAATTGCCATAAAGAAAGTATTATTATTAGTCTCTACTTTAAATATTTCACAGCTGTTTGAAAGCCATTTAGTTTAAATTTTAAAGGGATGATTCTTTTATCTAAATAGTTTTTCCATTTATTCTTGTGTATAGTCAAATAATGAGAAAAAATAAAAGCTTAACTTATTGACGTATTCAAAACCAAATTAATAGGTAAAATACAGCGGTCAAGCTGGTCAATTTTTAACCCCTTACAATTCTTATAACCTGTGATTTTTCCATGCACCTACGCCTACAGGACTATCTCCTTACTAAATGTCAAGTTTGTGTAGTATCTGGAAGTGGTCGCTCTAATTCAAGCACTATAAAGAGTATAGTTTATATAAGACCGCGGTCACGCTAGGTCAGTTTTAGGTCATTCTAAACTTGATTATGTGTGTCCCCTTTGAAATGAGGCAAATACAGCTTATGAGATTTATATTATTTTTCTAACTACAAAATGTATATAACAGATTTGAACTAATATTAAACAAAATGTAGAATAATCGTAGTTAACATTGTTACATTTTTAGACAGACTGTATTAACAATAAGAATAGAAAATCTTCTACAAACCAACCTGTTTTTTTTCTACTTTTACCATCGTTTGTTGTGAAACCTACATGACGATTCAAAACCGTGTTGCGAGTTGCACTACAGTTCCTGATGACATTTGAAGATCCATATTTGGGGACTTTACACCTTTTGCAAGCTAGGCAGGCGTGGTCCATTTGATCCATAAAGCTGCCCGTTGGACAAGGGACACACGAATGATTGTTAGATAAATATGTTCCTGGACCACAACTTCCGGGATAACAAACGCCTTGAACTGAGTAGAATATGTACTCAAGTCCAATCATAAAAAGGATATTGTAACTGTTACATAGAAATTAAAATCTGGTCATCATATGTTATTTGTTTAACACTATTCTAAAAATAATATATTGAAGAATACTTTTTTAACAAGAACAAAAAAGAAAGCGTAAACAAGATCTAAATTCTGTTAAACTCCTAATTAAATACTTACCCCATGTTAAAAATACAAAGTTGAAATTTGAGCTGAAAATAAAATATGTAAAAATCTATAAATATAATTCTCTTCTGGGAGCCGTTAGAAAACAAGCTGCAAGCGCGCGCCTTGCAGTCCCCTCTCTTCCTCTCTATCGCTACCACCCCCACCCCCACCCCCTCACATGGTCAGGTGAGTTGTAGTTCACGCCGCTAAATGTTTAGTTTGGTGACGGTTATTAGGGGCAGATAATTCAGTTTGAAACTATTTTAAATTTAGAGGAGGTAACTAAGAGGAGGCTGCTTTCACGGGGGGGGGATGGGGGTTTAGTGTTTTAAAGCAAATATTTTCAGTAGAAAGAACAACTAAATATCGGCGTATGATACACTGCGGGTCGTCTTGTAAAATATAACAAATGATTTCAGTCAAAATGTCTTAGAACAAACAAATTTTGTCTGTAGTAATTTTTTGGGGGTAATTTGTACTGAGATCATTGGTCTTTCAGCAAATAAACTGATCATGTTAGCAGAAGGATGGACTATCCGATCAAATTCTACTGTATATTCTTTATTTATACATATCTAACTTTGTCTCAGTTTGAAGGAAGTTAGTGACTTTTTTGTGTAGCGACGTTGTTGCGTTGACAGAATTAGGCTATAGTATAGTTTGTTTCTAAGTTTTACTTGTGAAAGTGGTTCTTTTCTAGGTTATTGAACTAAAATGTACAATTGTTTAAGGCATATATCAAAACAGTTTGGGTGCATTTACGTAAATGATTAATAACTTAGTCCTTTATATGTGATGGATTAGATATTTTGTTACTTGTGTACATATATAGTCAAGCAATGTATGGTGTAAAGTTATTCTTATGTGTCGCATCGTAAAATTGTTAAATTTTAAATATTTCAATATTTAGCCAAGATAAACTTGGTCAAGCTAATATTATTTAATCGTCAACTGGTAGCGTAGGTCAGATGATTTAAATCCCTCGCATTGCACGGTTAGGAGATGCCAGATGTAACATCTCCGCAAGTAAGAAATTTATTTATTTTTTCCGCAGAAACCTTCTAGGGAGTATTCTCATTAATCCTCAAAAGTTTCGTGGCACTCGGATAAACGGTGTCAAACCGTTTTACATAGCAAACCGTTCATATAGCAAAATCGCACCCTCCGGGGCGCCGCCCTCGCAAAATGAAAAATGTTTTTGCAGAAACCTCCCGTTGAGTATTCTCATCAACTCCACAAACTTTCAAGGCGATCGAATGAAAGGTGTAATAATGCTTAAAGGAAAAACACACACACATACTTTCTTTGCCATATATATATATATATATATATATATATATATATATATATATATATATATATATATATATATATATATATATATATATATGTATGTATATATATATATATATATATAAATATATATATATATATATATATATATATATATATATATATATATATATATATATATAGCCTATATATTTATATAATAAAGTAACATAAATAATTAAGTTAGGCCTACTTGTGGCGAATTTCAATTTAACAAAAAAAAATTTGCATTGCAATATTTTAAAGTATTATAATTTAGCCTATTATCTTTTATAAGCAAGCTGACATTTTACAAATATATCATTATTATTGAATATGTGTTTACAATTTAGAAACAGCTGAGATAATTTTATTTTTATTTTTGGCTAGATCTAATAAAAATATTCAAATATGGCTTCCACAAATTCTCAAGGGTAACTGTTCCTAAAGCAAGTTTAGACAACGACTTGCTTCCCTTATTATAACCACTTGATAATTTATATTTACATATTTAGTTTTATATGAATGTGCGTATACGGCACAATTAAATTTGTTTATCGAATAAAGAACAAAGTACTAAAGCCTAATAGAATCATTAAATTAAACAGCTACCTGAAAACAAATCCTTTAAAAGAATGTAGGAAGACTACATCTAAAACGGAAATTCCCGATGTTAATTTGTCTAGGTGATTGGTAAACATTATTTTTAAACGAAAATTATCTATTTATTTTATTTTTTCATACGATCTTCATTTTTTAAAATATCCTGTTGTTTGTCTTGTTTTTGTTGTGTGTTGCTTGAGCACAGATTACAAATTAAAAAAAAAATTCTTAACATTTTCTAAATAATCCCGCAGCGTTAACTTTTAAAATAGTACCTTTTAAACGTTTCATGCAAAATAATTGTCATTTCAAAATGAATTATATTAATTAATTAAATAAACAAATTTTTAAATCTATTAAATGAATGCAGACATAATCTAAAACTTATAGTTATTACATACATAGTTAAGAAAACAAGCGTTAGGTAAGCGGTAACAATAAATTTCGGAAATAACCGAAATTGTTTGTTCAAGAATAAAATAAGTTATGCCTTCAATCACCTTGGTAAAACATCGTATAGAGTCTACAATTCGAGGTTTTTTATAATTAAGATGAAAATGATTACGTCTATGCGAATTATTTTCATAATGTTTCAATTAAAATGTAAGTTTTTATAAAAAACGAAGGAAAAAAATATAAAATAGTTTATTTAGGTTATAAAACATTGTAATGTACATAAACAATCTACTAAGCATGAACCTTTTGAATTTCTATTCTTGAATACACTACTATCGTGTGTCTTTTTATCAAAATATCTAATTAATTAGTCCATGAGTTAGAAAATACATATAGGATAGAGGTTGGATATTCGTACCGGCGGGCAACTCTTACCGACCTTGCTTTGCTTTAAGCTGAACGATTGAAAATCGAGGTATCATCCTAAACTATTTCTAGATGATAAATGTTCTGACCTAACCATAGTGAAATCGATCGTAAATATGAGAAGCAGTAAGTTAGTTTTTGTGTTTTGTTATTGTTAGATGTAATTTTAGGCTCTCTTTCTAACTGTGC